GGTTGACGCCCACAGAGCTGACAGTACCACATGCTCCTCAGTCCGACCTGTATGACAGGGACAGATGTGGGGGTGACAGGGGTGTGCCCAGTGAGTGTGACTCCTGAGGGTGAGGCCAGGACCCCAGCCACATCTGTCTATCTGCAGTCTTTCTACCACATCCCCTTCCTCGCCTCCATTCCCACTCAGGATGCTATTAATGAAGTTTTTCTTTTTAGATTAAAACACACAGACTCCCAGTCTTTTAGCATTTCACCAGCGTTGTAGTATCACCTGGCACAGGAGATGGGAAGATGGAAAAAAGAGGACCCTGTGAAACAACCTTCATAGGCCAAAGTGTAGACTCACCAGCTGAGAAAGTCACTTAGCCCTGGGGAAGGGGAGGGGTCAACACTGGGTGTTTCCAGGAACACTGGTGGCTGCAAACTCTGAAGTCCTGATTTAGGAAAATTGTGCTTGATGAAAAATACTAAAATCTTATTATATAAGGGTGTTTGCTTCTATATTTCAATCCTCATTAGCCAGTTTAAGTAGTAAGAATAAAGGTTTCTCCCCAAGAAACAATGGAGCACATTTCATGGTAGAAAGACCACTCCCCTCTCAAATTCTGTTCTCCATTTCCTCTGGTCCCTGCTTCCCCAGTTCAGGTGTTTCTGCTATGACTTCCTTTAGTCATTCTGACCTGTATCTCTTACAGGGTATCTTATTTCCCCCACATTCTATATTAATCCTATTTCTGAAGTTGTCGTATAGTACATTGGTTTGGGGTATGCGGCACTATGATTTTAGCACGTGTAGGTTTGTGGAACCAGCACCACACTCAGGATAGTGAACATTCCATCACCTTCATAGCCTCTCTCTATAGTCCTGTTCTCTGACCCTGCAGTTCTGTCTCTTCCTGAATGCCACATGAATAGAACCAGATCTGGGTCACCTTTCACTCCATGAAGGACCTCTGGGACCCTTCGTGGCTGTGGACCCAAGGGCCTCCCTTCCCCCTGGAGGTGCTGCTCCTCTGTATGGATGCAACACAGCCTGTTTATCCATTCACCCCCAGGACATTCTGGTTGTTCCTAGGTTTGGATGGTGAGGAACAAAGCTACTATAAACATGCTTGTACAGGACTTTGTATGACTCTAAGTCTTCATTCCTCTAGGGTAAACCCCCGGGACTGGGACTGCGGGGACATATGATAAGGTATGTTTTTTGTTTTGTTTTGTTTTGTTTTTGCGGTACGCGGGCCTCTCACTGCTGTGGCCTCTCCTGTTGCGGAGCACAGGCTCTGGACGCGCAGGTTCAGCGGCCATGGCTCACGGGCCTAGCCACTCCGCGGCATGTGGGATCTTCCCGGACCGGGGCATGAACCCGTGTCCCCTGCATCGGCAGGCGGACTCTCAACCACTGCGTCACCAGTGAAGCCCGGTAAGGTATGTTTAAAGTGACAAGAAGCCACGCACTTCTCCAGGGTGGCTGCACCGCTCTGCCTTTGCACAGCAACGTGTGGGAGTCCTGCCATCCCAGTACTCACCGCACTCGGTACCGCCAGCCTTTTTTTGTTTCAGTCATTCTAATAGGTGTGCAATGGTGTCTTGCTGTGGTTTTAATTTACATTTCCCTAACAGTTAATGATTTTGAACATCTTCTCATGTGCTTATTGGCCAACCTTAAATCCTCTTTGGTAAAGTGTCTCTCGTCCATTTTAAAATTTGTTTTTTTTTTGTTGTTTTTTTTCCCTTATTTTTGAGTTTTGAGATATCTTCATATATTCTGGATACAAGTCCTTTGTCAGCTATGTGATTTGCAAATATTTTCCCCAAGTTTGTAGCTTATCTTTTCTCTCTCTTAGCAGTGTCTTACAGAGTAAACAGTTTAAATTTTGATGAAGTCCAATTTGCCAATTCTTTTCTTTTGTGGATCAGGCTTAGGGTGTCAAGTTGCTGTGCACACTGTAAGTCTGAGAAAGTGACAGGATAGGAGCTGGCTGTCTAGACACCAAAGTCTGGAAAAGGGAGGGCCTGTGTATGGGAAAGACCACAGAGAGACGTCCAGAGACCTGGCCGCCAGGCGGGCCTGACACCGCCAGGCGGGAAATGTCACTGAGGAAGCTGAACCAAACCAAAGCCAGGTTCCTCTTCAGTAATATCAGGGGGTTTAACTAAATAACCTAAAAAATATATTTTTAAGTTATGTGATTTTTAACAGCTCTTTTTAGTCTGGAGAACTCGGAACACGTGACACTGTTTGTCTGGGCCCACCTGCACCATACAAGCACAGCAGTCAGGGACGGTCACAACCATGCTGAGTGACCAGGAGGGTACACCACCCAGCATGTGAGACAGGGTCTGGGCTGAGTTCATGCTTCAAGCCGCCCCACCCAGTGGGAGAAGGAGACAACCCAGCCCTGCTCACAAAATATTTACACAGAACAAGAACCGTCTGAACTGGTCACCAGACGTCACCTCGCTAGGAAAGAATGTAACTTTATCGAAGTTTTAATGGATAACGGTTTATTTGAGAATTACATGTCTATGGAGATCTGTGGTACAGGTAACAGAGGCTCTGTCACTCAGAAATGGAGAGAAGTAAAGACCCACAGACACAGCACAGCAGTGCTGGTGAACGAACTCTGACGGAATGGCTTCCAAACTCTGAAATCTCATCAGGGAATCGAACCAAACAGGCCGGATAACCAGGCAGATCTAGCATTTTCTTATTTTCTAACTTCTCTCCGTGTGATGTCTCTCGATGGTTGCCTTGTTTGTCCAGCACTTGTAAATGGTTTTCTTGGTTTCAGCCCACCTTGGAGGTGAAGCTGGCTTAGAACGGAGAGGAGCAGCTCCCCTGAGCGGCGGGGCGTTGAGCCTTCTGTCTCTAGAAGACAGCTGTGCGAGCGTGACCAGGACAAGGCAATCGTGGAGCCCAGTTAAAAAAGCACTCAGCGCCTGGCCACCTGGCCCTCTGCTTCCCGACTGCAGTGACCCCTGGTGCACCGGGCTGCCCAGCACAGACAGGACTGGGGACACGAGGCTGCAACACGTTCTCCCCACCACCTGACACCAGATTGCACCAGCACTCCGATTTGGAGAAAACCAGCAGCTGCACATGCCCAGAGCAGCACAGTTTCGAATAGGAGCAAGAGTCACCGGTGTGCCTTACACTACATATGGGGGTTGGGTGGGGGCACACGGAGAGCCAGACCTCTGCCCTCCCTGACCCTTGCGAATGTGACACACTGAAGTCTACGGTCCCTGCTCTGACCGAGCTAGCACAACCAGCTCCCCGAACACAGCTCTGCTGCTGGTCCCAATCCCGACCTCAAGTTCCCGCTGCTTCCCACCCAGCCTGCAGTGCCAATCTATCAGCGCATCCTCTGGCCCTGCCTCAGCCAGCACTGCCTTTCCAGCAATGGCTTCAAAGTCTCCTCAACTGTGGGTCAGTGGTAACCAAGACCCAGATGTGGGCTGGTCAATGGTAACCAAGAATCAGCTGTGGGCTGGGCAGTGGTAACCAAGACCCACTCTGAGCAGAGGGGACCACCAGGTCTTCCCATTTGTCCTGCTGGCACTGATCAATGTTACACTAATTCTTTCTTGTCACAATATCCCATTTTGCTTGCGGACAAAAGCATCTTGAAGCAAACAGATGCAGTGACCAGTCACATGATTTCCTTAAACATTTATCCAAAATTTAATGGAAGAAATTATACTCGATGAACCGTTTGCAGGTATCCTAATTGTATTTTGTTGATTCTTTCTTTTAAATTTATTTGTACCTATGTTTTCCATGTCTATATTCTTATAAAAAAAATTAAACAAGATGGAAAAAAATCAGTCCCTAACACTGCTCCTCCCTGCTTCTTGCTCCAAATTCCACTTTCCTACCCAGAGTGAAGTGTAACTATTTCATTTCATGCCTTGTTGATATGTATACACACACACACACACACACACACACAGAGTTATGCACGGTTTCAAACATGTGCTCGGCAGCCCACCATGGGTGTTGGTCTTTAACAACATGTCCAACAGGCCACTCCCTGTCAGTTCAAGGGTAGCCACCACATTCTCTGTATTTGCCCGTGAGAATGCACGTGACTGAGTCCACCGTGCCCTTACAGTGGGTGTTCAGGCATAATATTTTTGTGTATTTCCCCTGACACACAGGCAAGTTGTTTTCCAGGAGAGAAAACTAGATTTGCTTTTCCTACCTAATGTAATTAAAATCAGGCTTTAGCTGTTTTAGCACAAGACTTTGTATATCAAGACTTTGGAAACAATTTGCATGTTAATTCTAGAAGAAACGGGGTTCGGAACAGAAGCGTCAGGAACTACCTAGGTGAATCAGGATGAATGAAATGAACACGCAAACAAATAAAAAATGCAGGTCAAGTTTAGAGCTGTGAGATGGTGTACTGATACAAAGAGGCTCATGACAGGAGCAGACAAGCCAGCCCTGTGACCTGGGAGGACAACGAGAGGCCGAGCAACCGCAGCACATCATGAAGGACCCCTCCTGCAGGGACCACTGCATCTGCCCTGAGATAGAATGTAACATTGGGGGTGGGGGGATGGAAGGTTGCAGAACGTGAAAGGGAACATTGAAGAACATCGGGAAGATGCTAAGCTGTGATCTGACGTTTGCAGCTGGGGAGCAGAGTGATGATCTCTATGTGCAGAGTGGTGGATCTGTATGGCAGTGACCTGTATGTGAAGTGATTGGTCTGTATGTGTAACGATATGTTTTTACTTTGGCTCAGTGTTGGAAGTATTTTTAAACGTTCAAAAGGATTCAGCTTTAATTCTTTTCATTTTAATATGGCCCCAAATTTAGCTGTGTTCTATGTAACAATCACAAACATGGCCTTAATCAGAAAACAAAAGAACACACCCACATGAAAGGGAAACAACCTGTGCGGACAGGAAGTACTTCTGAGAACCAAGAGTGAAAAAAGGAGACTCCCCTCACACCAGAAGCCACAATAGTTTAAAAATCTGACTTACTTTTCTATCAAATCCAGTGTGACTCCAGGCACCAGACTAACGCATTTCTGCATGCAAAACCTGCAGAGAAAGAAAAGAAAGTGAATCACAGCAACAGGGTATTTAACAAGAGAGTGCAACAGTCCCACAGAAAAAGCAAAGAGAGGAAGGTGAGGATGGGGATTGCCACGGTGAAAAAGTAAACCCTGTTTTTCTTAATTCTGTCAGCTTTTAGGTTTATGAAGAAAATCTCCCTGCAGCCTCTCAAAGGGGCAGGAACACCGAGCTGCAACCGCAGGTCTCCAGTGGAAGGGGAGAAACAAGTCTGCGGGATGGCGGGGCAGAGCCCCCACTGTGGCAGGGGCTGGGGGCGTGTGCGCACAAGATTCCACAGGACAGGAAGGTTCCACCCAGGTGATGAACAGGCTCCACTTTTCTATTTTTCCTTCTTAAGCAAGTAAGCTGGGGAGAGTGATGGAAGAATCAGCGAACCACCCCCAGGCACACAAAAGAAATTTGTGAGAGAAGACAAAAGTGAATTCAATTATATCATTTTAATTATCATAAAATCATAGGAGTCAGAGCTGTGAGACTTAATCTTCACTGCAGAGCCATCCTGGAGAGCTAGGGTGGGACTGTCCAGGCTTCACCTAATTTGTACGCACCAACAAGAGGTCTCGGACCATCTCTTTCTTCCTGTCAGGGCTATTGCCACGCAGCAGGACAGAATCAATGGTAGCATGGAGTGAAGAGGCAACTTAGTATCAGTCGCAGGAGAAATGTAAAACATTTAATTCACCGGCTTTAAAAATTAAGAACAAATAACGCCCTCCATAAAAACAGCATCAGGCACACAGCAAATGCACCCACAAAATGCATTTTAGTATCACTAGTGGATGTGAGAAGTGGAGGAAGGTTGGAGAATACCAGTGGGCTCAAGGGAGGGGACGAGTACAAGGAACCGGCCACATTCAGGACACACGGAGTGAGACGTGTACGGTGGGTGGGTGGAGGTGGGGGAGAAAGACAAGGAGACAGAGAGAGACCCAGAGGCTGGAAGACGACAGACAAGGCCGTGAAGACGGCGTCTGGTGGGCCACTGGCTCCCAACACGCAGCCCTCCAGCGGGGGGAGGGTGGGGGGAGGGGAAGAGGGGACTCAGTGCACCCTGCCCCGCCAGGCTCATGGCCTCGGGGGGCAACGCCTCGCTCAGCCAGCAGAGGAAGTTATCTTCCTGGCTGTGGCTGCGCCGGCTGGTGCTCTCTATTCACGGAGCAGAAGAAACATAAATGAGGGCTGTGTTTGCCCTACACAGACAGAGGCCCTTTCCCACCGGCACAGACGGCTGGGCTGACCAGCTGCTCCACCAGGCCAGTCAGTTCCTCCAGACAAATCCTTCTGTTTACTCCTCTGGCGGAGAACTCGGCCCGTCCGCTCCCGCGCATCACCGCAACTGCCGAACCAGCCCACATGCAGCTCTGACAGAGGCTCCATGTGAATCAGGATCTCTCCGTGGACAGAAATGCTCTACAGGAAACACATTTTCCAGTCCAATTCTGAGGCCTATGCAAACAGGGCTGCTCTGTCATCTTTCTCTCTGTAACGCACTTACTGATTGGACCTCTGCCTTCCCATAATGATAGTCTGTGCCAGACTAATCCTTTTGTCAATAACAACAATAAGCTCTGGACAAAATATAAAAAACAACCACTTGAAAGCACCAAAGAGCAAACAAATACAGGCAGAAAGGGAAGCCATGACCCTTAAAAGAAGAATAACAAGGTCTGCCTTAACCAGCTTTTCCCAGGCGTGCTCCCCAATTCACACAGCGCCGGGGACACTGCTCAACGGAAAGGAGATCAGAACCCCAGGCTGCCAGGAGCTTCAGGGTAAGTCTTAGAAAGGAGGAGTCAAACTCTGTGAGCAAGCTTTCCTAGGACCCTGGGCTGAGCCCGGCACTGCACAGGCATGGGCCCAGACCCCGAGGAACCCCGGGGACACCAGAGCTGAAGTGCTGAACACAATGGGCAGAGGTTTCCACAGTTGCTCACTAGCAGACATGCATGCAGATGGGGACAGTCAGTGCCACGTTAGGGGGCTATCAACACCTGGGGCTTTCCACTGACACCCTGTGGGGTGGTGCCTCAGTTACAACCATGGTCCAGGATTCAGAGCCTCACCCCAGAACTAGGAGCAAAATCAAAGGAGACCAGTCCTACAGCTAAGAGACCTCAATCAATTAAACCATCTACAAGAACAGAGCTAAATACTCCTCAGAGGAAGATAACAGAATCCAGACTTTCTCAGTGTCTCATCCACAATGGAGAGTATTCTACCTAAAATCAAGAGAAAAATTGTTAATAAAACCAGATTCATTGCTGGCCACATTTTGGAATTAGACTTTAAAATTATAAAAATAATTATTAACTGGGAAATAAGTATTATGATAAATCTGCTGAAAATATAAAGTTCCATTAAGTAGGAAATTAAAAATAGGGCCATGATGCAACTTTAAAATATCTATGATATGGTTATATGCATTAAGAGCAGCATGGATAAACCAGTGACTGACAATCCACAAATTGTACACCAGCCAATATTTATTCCTTCGCACCAGGCAAAATCAGAGGCAATAAAAATGGCTTGACAATCCCACAAAATTGAATATTAGTAACTATGACAATAAACACAACAGCTGGCAGTCGGTTAGTGCTTACTCTTGGTGCTAGAGCTCTCATCAACAGGCTCTGGCCACTTCTGAATCTTCTTTGTCCGACTTGCCCTTTCCGAACTTCGAGCGAACAGCTACACAGCACCAGACCACTGCTTACTGCCTGCCTGCTGACCCTTCAGGCCAGGGTTTCTCAGCTGTGCACTAAGGACTCTTAGGACCAGATCATTCTTTGCTGTAAGGGCAGCACCCTAGCCTCGACCCACAGGATGCCAGCAGCACCACACCCCAGTTGTGACAACCAAACATGTCTCCTGACACTGCCTAATGTCCCTGGGGGGCAGAGTAACTCCATTGAGGCCACAGCCCTAGGCCAGGCCCCAGTGTCTCTCACATTTTCCAGAACAGTCTCTGCTTCCACTCTTGCCTGTGCTTCCTATTCCTCTCCCAGGAATTCTCTACCCAGCAGGCAAAGCAACCCTTTTAAGAGGAAATGCTGTGATAAGTCATCTCATCTTGGCCCTCCAGAGGCTTCCTGCCATGAAGGATGAAATGCAGGGTGCTTGCCTAGCCTCCCAAGGCCCTGCCCTGGGCTTCCAGTCACTGCTCTAACTTCACTTCCTCACTCTCACTCTGCTTACCCAGCTCCATTCACCCTGACACACTTCCTGCTCCTTCAACACGCCAGGTACAGCCCCACCTCAGGGCCTTTGCGCTTGCTGTTCCCTCAGCCTGCAACACTCTTGCCCCAGATAACTGGAAGGTTTACTCCTTTGTTTTATTTGGACTTCTTCTACCTTCCCTGACCAGCCTAAGGAAAACAGCACCTTCATTCTCTACCTGCTTTTTAAAAATAACATTTCTTGCTACCTTATTATATATTTGTTATTGCTTGTCTTTATCATAGAAGATAAGCTCAGTGAGTACAAGGACTTCTCTTATTTTGTTCATCAGTGTGCCCCCAGTACTTAGAAGGGTGCCTTAATATATAGTTTTGATAATCCATAAATGTGTCAAGTGAATACGGTATAAGATTAATTTCTAATATTTCACATATATCTTTTTTTTCCTGTTGCTCTTGAAAGTGAGTGGCTTCAAGATTTTTATGCAGAACAAATTAATTAACGTTAGAAAAACTCAACTGTGTAACCTTGTACACTATCATATAACTGTTGGATGCTATTGTTTCTGAGAATGGAAATACATTAATTTTTTTTCTAATTAGAAAACTCCCCACATATTTACCATAAAAAATTAAAAGTACAGAAAATTACAAGTAAAAATTACCCCCAAACCTAAGATAACCATTAACATTTTCACATTTACCTCTTAGAGAAAATTGAATCATGCTGATTTATTTTGTTCTAGGAGTCACAGTCACTGGAACATCCCAAACAATACAGATGTGTGTAATGGAAAATTAAGAGTCTGTCCTGCTGCCCCATTCCACTGCTGACCACTGCTGACTGCTCCTCTGCATCCAGAATGTGCCCAGCACACGTGCACAACCAATATCTACCCTTGGGTTTTGTTCAGTTTTTTTTCTTACCACAAGAGAATTTGCCATACACACCACAGCTGCGGTTTTTTTTTTTTTTAAACATTTGTTTTCCAGCATTTTCCAACATTCAACAAAGTTGAAAGAATTTTAGAGTAAGTTCCTGCATCCCACCACCTAAGTTCCACCATCAGCATTTGATTGCATTTGCTTTATCACATCTCTGCCTCTCCGTCCATTAATCCATCTCATTTTTGGTGCGACAGAGGATATGGTACACTTGCCTTTAAATTCTTCAGCACACATACTGAGATCTCAGTATCTGTTTATTGTTTTTGTCTTTTGATGTAAGATTACATACAATGAAGTACACACATCTTAATTGTTCGTTCACCGGGTTCTGACAAATGCACATGCCTGTGTACCCAAGCTCCTACAGGGACCACTACCAACATCCCAGGGAGTTTTCTCTCACCCTTTCTCTGCCAATTCCTTCTTCCTCCCATTGCGCCCAGAGGCAAAAACACTGCTCTGATTTTTCTACTTATTTTCATTCCTCTGTTCTAGAGTTTCACATACATGGACTCACCAAGTATGTACTTTTATATAAGGCCTCTTCCAGTCAGCATAATGTTTTGGATGTTTATCCATGTTTTTGTTTGTATCATGAATTTATTCTGTTTTCTTGCTGACTGGTATTCCATTATATGAAAAGACTGTAGTTTATACATGCTGTTCTGTAACTTGCCCTTGTGTATCATGGACAATATAAAAGCTGATGCATAGAACATTACCTTTTTCATGAACATAAGTGTGCTGTCCTCAGGATGCATTCGTAGCAATGGAACTGCCTGAAGAATGGGTACACATATTGAATGACCAGTCATCTGATGGCTCTCCAGAGGCAAGTGC